ATCCTCAACCCGCTGGTAGGCAGCTCTGAACACCACATCCAGAACACTTTGGATTTTGTTGAGAAGGTGAGAGATGTCATTATGGAGGCAGATGAAAACACGGTGGACCGACACATCAAATTCACCAGGGAGGATATGAAAAGTGGCAGGTTAGCCTTCTTAGACTGTGAGATTTCCATCAGTAATGGGGGACATCTAAAAGCTGACGTGTACCGGAAACCTACGCATATGGGTCAGTATTTAAGGTTTGACTCTCATCCTCCACTGGAGCACAAACTGGGCGTCATCAGGACGCTACAACACAGAGCGAACACCATCCCCACGGACACAGCAGCCAGGGAGGCAGAAGAACATCAAGAAGGCCCTGAGTAACTGTGGTTATCCCAGCCGGACACATTTACTGTACATTTAGAAATGTTTTTTGTAACTCCATGCACATTTACAAATGTTTTGCACATTTGCATAATGTACTGTTTATAAGATTGGGGAAACCTGCAGTCAGCTGAGACTCCACTTGGATGAGTTACGAAATGTTTCTCCCACTGAAAACGCTACGTCCAGATGAACAAAATCAACTTTTGGAGATTTACTTACCTGAATGATTGTGAATGCATCAAGGCATTTTAGCCCATCTCTAATATTTATACCTCTCTTATGAGTTATCAGTGGTGGTTCTTTAAAGGTCCCTAATAAGTTTGGATCATTTTGAAGGATATGCCAATGTTTTAAAATAATTTCTTTAATGTTTCTGGTTTTTGGTGTGAAGGTTGTGCAAAAGACAAGATTGGATTTAAGTTTTGGAGGTTTCTTGGTTTCTAAATTCTTACATAAAAGATAGCTCTCATGTGAGGATATTTTATTTTTTTATTTATCTTTATCTTCTTCATGCACCTTGGAAGTAGGTGAAGTTGTGCCCGAAGTATTTGTTGCTATCAATGGCCAAGTGTACCATTCACAGACAGTTTGGGGAAAGGCTGCAATTCATGGTCTGGCAGTATAAAGGGTAAAAGGTGTCTTTTACTGAAATGTGGCTTTCAACTGACCACTCTGCCATACAAGCCACATTGGTGGAGTGCTGCAGAAATGGTTGTCCTTCTGGGAGGTTCTCCTGTCTTCACAGGACAATACTGCAGCTTTGTCAAAACATCGGGTTCTTGGTTATCTCCCTGACTACAAGAAAATCCTTGAAGTCCAACCTTTGTAGTGAATTATTAATTTAGTTTACCTGCATTTAGCACTACACAATGTTTGGTAAGAGGACGGTTGAAAAGAAAATAATGGTGGTTGCAGTTAGTAGATGAACCCATGGTATAATTTTAAAAGTCCTAGGTGTTTTTCAGAAAAGTTGACAGGTATTTGGCACTTTCCAATATTTTAGTAGCTGCCCCTATGGGATGACTTTGGATATCCTAGGTTACTTCCTTCTTGAGTTAACACATTCCAGTGATTCCTGAGATTAGGGACAAAACAGGTTTTAATTTTCTAAAATATATTTTTTGATTTTTCAAAAACATATTTACATATAATTGTTACACAAAGTTTTGGCTGTCTCACCGTGTTTTGGTACAATCTCCCAGGTGTAACATTTTTTAATAATTTATGTTTTTGCTGGAGAAGTCCAAGTTTTTGTCAACACCATCTGACACAAAGAAATGCAAAAATACATATTCTAAATTAAGTTGTTTCAGCTATTTTGACTATTAGTAGCTTGTCTATTCTACCGTTTATGCACATGTGTTTTCAAACTAAACCATGTTTAAGAGTAAGATTGTTTTGGCTTTTTATTATTAGAGTTACAGTCATACATATTTTCAGAAGCTTGTATTTAATCTCTATAAGAAACATTCATATTTAGCAGCATGCAAATTACACATTTATTGAGAAAACTACGTATTTCTATTGGAAGATCATGGGGGAGGAAACTATATGGTTCTCCAAAAGAGAAAAATGAAGAAAAACTCCATATTATGGAGTTGACAAGGTGCTGACGGTGGTGACACAAATCTGACGGTGGTGACACACTAGTAAAAAACAAGATATTATTTCTTTCAAAATGACAATTAAACCTTAACAACTTACATAATATCACAAGACACATCATAACAATTCTGTTTTTGCACATGTCAAGTTCTACATCTTAATAGTTCACCAGCAAGTAGCCGCCTGCTCCTTGATTCCTAAAGTTCTCTGTGGTTGTGTGTTTAGACCCTGCTGGACTTTCTCTCCTTTTGTCTCTGTGCTTGTTTCCAAAACCTTCTCTTCTGCCTTTTTTCTTTCTTTCAGATCACTGATGTTCTTTATTTCTCCATCTTTCCCTTTATGAGAAACTCTTTCTTCAACTCAGGCTGGCTGTTAATTTTTCCTCTCCTTTTTTGATCATCCCTGTTCCTTCTCTTTCGTTCCTCCACTGACAGCTTCCCCTTTGCCATTCTAGCCTGAAACATACCATTTTGTAATTACTATAATTTTTCTGAACCATATGGATTCATTTGGATTTTATCTGGCGAACATGTTTTGTCTCTCATCTCACAAATCACTGAGTCACGAGATTTTCAGAAAACTTTACCTTGAAAGCTTATCTAGTACACACCAACTATAACTGTATTTTCAATTATACTGCTAAACAAATATGAGAAATTGACAAATGAAGTGTACCTGTTGCCAATTTATGCCATAAAATGTGCACCAGAACAATCACATACATACATACATACATACATACATACATACATACATACATACATACATACATACATACATACATACATACATACATACATACATACATACATACATACATACATACATACATACATACATACATACATACATACATACATACATACATACATACATACATACATACATACATACATACATACATACATACATACGTGATTGTTCTGGTTTTCATTGACCAGTGCCATGTTCTTAATAAAGTGCACATTTTATGGCATAAATTGGCAACAGGTACACTTCATTTGTCAATTTCTCATTTCTCATATTTGTTTAGCAGTATAATTGAAAATACAGTTATAGTTGGTGTGTACTAGATAAGCTTTCAAGGTAAAAATGTGAAGCATGAAGTAGCCTTTGCAAACAGATTCCTGTTTAAACAATGACAACGGTGACAGATGTTAACAATATAACATTAATTAAACGTACATATTTACACTGACAACAGGTAAAATATTGAATATTTTACAGTTTTATATGAATGCCGCTGTACTGTACAGAAGAGCTTTTGATAAACCAAAGACAGAAATGGTGGCACCTCTACAAACATCTGAAACAACTCAAAATAGTTCCCTCAGGGCTGTTAGCAAAAAAGAAACGTAAGAATGTATAGTTTTACATTTGGGCTAGAAGCCGGATTCATGTTTTATATGCAGTCCATGTATATATTGTTGAGGATCATCTTCTGTTAGCCATGAAGCTTGTTTCATTCTTCCACTTATAGCCTTCACTCACAGGGAATCCTACATTTAGAGTCAAGTTTAGGAACATGCAGTGAGATTAAACACATTTAAAATAATTTTTTTACTTTACCTAAATGAATAATTAATGAATAATAATCCAAAACATTTTAAAGACTTCAAAAGTACACACTTTGTTTCTGTGGAGTGTCCCGATTTCTGGCCTTGGTCAGCTGAATGGCTTCACACTTGGTCCTCTTCATCAGAGGAGGTACAGACGGATAGAAGCTGCGTCTCCGCCTGTGTGCCACATCACCACATCTACCTTTCTTCATTGACTTGAAACTGTTCTGGGCTCGTAGGTTACTCTCCACACTAGTTTTTTGATCTCTCCTGGTTGGGACAAAGCTCTTTTGACGGTCATTAAACACTTGCTTCTTGGCTGAATGCTGCATGCATGTAAAGGATGATGGGTCCTTTGTATGAGTGTAAGACTGACTTAATGTTGAGGTGCTGCTGTAGGAATGAGATTGCTGTAAACTGTATAAAGAAAAATGTCGTCTGGCACTATCTGAGCTGGTATTAGTTTTAGAAAGTAATGTATGGTGTGTATCAGTGTGGTGCATCCCTCTGTATCCAGTCTTGTCATTTATCTCTTTGTAAAAATGTTGCGTCTCCTTTTTAGAGGAGCGAGTGTTTTTGCTGGTTTCTGGTGTCACCAGAGTTTTATTTTTTTGGGCTGTAGACTGCTCCATGTGCTTCAGGTGCTCACTAGGCTGAGAAGCTCTCTGAACAAAAAAGTGAGGACTCACAGGATTAGGACTCAAATCCAGAGTCTGGAGACACCTCTTAGGCATGTACTTGGAGGATGGACTAGTTTGTGCATAAAGTAAGGCATCATTGCTGCCCTCAGTTTGTGATGAGAGTACTATGGTTCTTCTCTTCTGTGTGTTAATGCATTTTTCTAATGCTTTTTCCAAAGTCCCTTTTGCCTTTTGTTGAACATGCTTGTGGCAAGCTTTAGTGGAGTATACCTCCCTCTCCCCAGACTTCAGAAGCTTCTCAGATGAGTCTTTGGATGACAGACCGATTTGAGAGTTTTCATTGGCAAAAATGTTGGTTTGAGCTTCCATGAAGATACTATTGCTATTCTCCATGTCTAAAGAAATGGTCTTCCTTTTGGTAAGGACTTTTTCCATGTCTGTTTCCACTGTTTTTGAGGTAGGTGGTCTGTTGGCTTTTTGCTGAAAATGCCTTATAACTTGAATCAGTTTTCTCTTCTTTATACTGTGCGATAGTCTAAAACTTACATCCCGTCTCTTTTCTTTCAACTGTGGATGTTGAAGTTTGGATTGATGCTGAGACTTTGTGTCTGCAGGAAACATACCAGGCTCTTTGGTCTCTGTTTCAGCACTTTCATGCTTGCCGTCCTGCGTTTTATTATTTTTCCTTTTTTCACCTTGTGAAGTACCATCCCTCCCCGTCGACTCAGAGATTAGTCCACTTCTCCTCTTGACATGTCTGTTGCTTTGGTTTCCATCATCCTCTGTGTCAGATATTACTATAACAGCAGGATCATCTGAAATGCTTCGTGCTTTTCTACCATGGTGAGATCCAGTATTATTACACTTTTCTGTCCTTTGTGAAAGGTCAGGGTTCCCACTCTGGATCACTTCGTCACAACATCTGGATAAATCTATAGATGTACGTCCATTGGTTTGACAGTTTCCTTCCACAGTTTCAGGAGAAGGTTTCTTCAGTTGATTAAGGCTGGCAGCTCCACTGTTCTCTGTGCGCGTAGAGAATAATCTCTTTGTTTGTGTCTCTGGACAGCTTTGGACACCTTCATCCTCGGTGTCAGAATCAAGGTTGATGATGTCATCCTTTTCTGAAGACTTGCTTCTGTTCCCCGTTTGACTTGGTTGTAAGTTTGCCATCTCATGGTCTTCATTTACTTTTTCAGAACCAGAGTCATTTTTCTCTGCTGACGCAGGCGCTGACAGGTTATTTAACCACTGTTTGGACACGGTCAGATAGTTACGTCCTGAATCAGAAGAGTAATCGGAACTATCGTCAGTTTCACAACTGTCATCAGGAGCACTATGTGACTCCTTATTTTGTGGTCTCTGAGCTTTAGTCTCAGTTGTGCCCCAGGAAGAAGGCGTCATGAAGGACTGTTGCATTGTCTCTCTAGATTGTATGACTTTTGCTAGATGAGAAGGTGTTTCAAAAACCTCCATCATGGAAAAAGCAGAAGCTGGCACATGGTTTGGAACAGATCCGGGTACCTCACAGACAGCTGGATTTGTGTCACTTTGTTTTACCTGGTCTTCATGCTCACCATCATGCTGTGAAACAGTTTCTGGGTCAGCCTGGCCTTCATCTGCTGGTTCCCATTTAACATCTAATACGCTAATAGGCATAACAAGCCAATCATCGTCTTCATCAGTCTCCTCTTGATCTTGCGCGTCAGAAAGGGGGCTCAAAGAGCAGCTTGCTTGCCAATCTAAATGTTTCTCACCGTCACATTTAGGACATAAGAAACGTTCAAACCCATCCTCAGTTTCAACAAAACATGGACAAGAGCAATCTTGTGCTATGCCAAGTGTTTGGTTCTTTGGAAGCTCGGCCTGACTCTGCACACGTCCAAACTGCGTATTACTGGCTTCAGACACTTCACATGAAGGTGAAGGCATCTCCTCGTCATTATTATCAACTTCTGGATTCTCATCTTCACTCACATCTTCATATGAAGGGTCCCTTTGATTTGTGTTTAGGAGATTCGTGTCCATATTCGATAAATTTTCGGTGTCTGAAATATCGTCATATTGTGGATCTTTTATAACCGTTACATAGAACAGCTCTCCACTGCTCACTTTATTCAAAGGAAGAGATGCGCTTGCACAAGCCTGTAAACACACACCAGTTGTATCCTCTTCAGCATTTTTATAGCTTGTTTGGTTGCGCACCGATTGTTCACTTTGGTACATAGAGACTCGCGTTTTCCCCAGCTCAGTTTTATCAGTTAATGAATCTAGGCTGGAAACTGCAACTGCATCCTTAGATGCAACATGGCAGTAGTGTTGGTCTTCAATTTTCTGAAGTTGGTTTACATTTTTATCTTGATTTCCACCAATCACACAAGGCCCACTGCCTAAACCTACTCCTTCAATTGGTTTGAGGCTAACATCCTCCCTCTCCCATCTCACATGCTTGGATAACAAAGGTAGAGCGCCTGGTGTTTCTTTGAGTCTCTCACGCTCTCCTTGTGAGGAATTGCAGCGCACCGTTAATCCTGGGTACTTCTCAGTCTCTTCTGGCACAGTGACCCCAGACACTGCTGTCACAGTCACTGGACTCTCTGCTTCATTCTTTGTGCAAGTGGCAGCAACATCCAACATGACATGTTGATAATCTGTGGACATAAAGAGATGAAAGTTACTTATATCGCCACTCCAGGTTTGTTGCAGTGTAATTCAGAAAAGTTGTCCAGCTCTGCAATTCGTTTTACATTCTTCAGTCTAGCATTTGGATTCTTTGGCGCAGGTACTGAATAATTAGGAGTGGTTATACATTATTTCATCAACACTGGCATTTCTTTTACCTTCAGTTATCAGAACATGACTGACAACCCTTTACAGACATAATTCGATCCAAGCAGATGCATTTTGGGAGAATGTTTTAAACTTTATACAGTAGAGATTAGTGTACCTTTTAAACAGTTCTCTGATGCAGATGTATTATAATTCTTGTTAGAGCTGGGAAATAATTCTGTTCCTTTGCTGCTTTTCAACCCGTCTTGGTCAAGAGGTTGTCCAGTGCAGTGTTGAATCCCAGAAGCGTTGGAAGTCTCTTTCTTCTTTACGTCTGACTTGTAAAAGGCAATCTCTTTATTGATGAAGTCAAACATTTCATCTGTCCATGATTTGGCTTTCTCAACTTCAAAATCTTCACATTTTGTTGGTTGACGGCTGTGAGAATAAGGAGAGATCTTCTGCTGTCGTTTCCTCTTCAGTCCACAGTTTGTTGAATTTCTCACTTCTTGATTCTTACAATGTCGTTCATCTGAAATATCAGCTCCAATATCAAGTTCAACATTGGAACCCATTTTGTCTCTTGAAGATGATGAGGTGGTAATTAAGGATCTACAACAATGGGCATGATGTGGACACCTTGCTCTTAAGCCCTGGAGAGCATACATCCTGCAAAAACAATGTAAACCAAAATCTGGGTTATAGTTATACAATTTCTCACACACACACACACACACACACACACACACACACACACACACACACACACACACACGTACGTTTAAATGGCCAACATGGAGACAAATGCCACCAGTCTCCATTTAAGATGAGGGCAGTGAAGCTGTCTGTGCCTCCTGAAGCCCATTAAGAGTTATTTTGTTTTAAAGATGTTCAGCTGCAGTGGACAAGTTCTCTACCTCCGCCCTGTACACAGTCTTATCTCCATCAGAGTTGAGCTGAAGATGTCGTATATTATGTTGTTGAATGCTGAGCTGTCCATGCAGAGCATCCTTACGGAGCTCTTCCTGTTCTCCAGATGACCCAGCTCTCTGTGAAGTGATGGTGATTGCTTACAGAGCAAATCAGTCCACGGAGGATGCAAAGTGTTGGGTGTAGACCGTCTCTGATGTGCTGAAATGGTATTCACTCAAAACACTTAATTACTATAGAAGGGCTATAGGTCTGTAGTCATTCAGGCTGTCTATACCAGGCTTTTTGGGGACGTGAATGATAGTGGAGGCCTTCAGACAGGTAGACGGGGAACTGTGCCATGAGTCAGGGAGAGGATGCACAGGCTTTAACCACAGCCCCAGAGACTGGCAGCTCTCCCGGGGTTCACCGCTCTCAGTCTCCTCTTAACTATCATTAGCTTACAGCTTGAAGTGTTTATTTTTAGTTAGCACATACATTAAAGGCAAGATGATGGTTTATTAAACCTTTAATGACATTTGCAGGTTGTCTGTGGAGAAATATAAATTCTCTACAGTCTCACTCTTCTGTTTAACATTTATTGAGCTGTGTGAAAACTAACTTTGATCTCAGCAAACAGATTTACTCAGGGATAAATAAAACCCTGAAAAATGCCAAAAACATTTTAAAGTTATCTAAGTGACTTATATATCATGTTTAACCTGAGTAGCCAAAGACCGAGGGGGGGTCTGAAAACAATGCGCCGGGAGTTCGTTGTTTACGCCGGCTTGAATCCCCAGCTAGCTATCGAGCCAGTGGGTAACAGACGTCTCCAAAAACCCGAGAGCACTTTTGCACGTATATGATGTCTTGATAAACTGAGCAGATATTTGAAGTTTACACAGCTACATTCACACTTGAAAATATCTTTAAAGTGTATTTTGTGACCCAGAAAGAGAAATAATAGTAATATTAAAACTAGGTAGCTGCTACCATTGTTGGAAACTGGAATTGGCTGGGCCATGCTATAAATTCTGGGATAGGTTGGGCCAAGAAGGATACACCCGACCCATCCTTCAAATCTGGGGGAAAAGGAGGACACATTTGTTGGCTGCATTTGGAGCAGTCTTTGAATTTGGACAGCCTTTGTTGCGACACTGTAACATAATCGGCCTACAAATAGAGCTGGGCGATATAAGATTTTTTTCATATCACGATATGTTTTTTTCATTTCAGGCGATAACAATATCTATCACGATATCAGCCAAATAACTATATTTGTAAGATTTAAATGTGCCGTTGCTCACAAGTAAAATGTGAAATAATCAGCAGCTTGTTTTTATTTAAATATTTATTTCCCATAATAAGTTCAACAGGGTAGATGTACTTAAGGAACATGAGACTTTTTCAGATAAATAAAGGCAAATATTGCAAACTACACAAAAGGCAGCCGCTAAAGCGTTTAAGTTTCAAAATAGAACAAACGAAACAGACTAAACTGTCAATTCCACTTAGAAACAAAATATTAATTCTAAAAATAAATCTTAGTTTGTTTTACAGAAGAACAGACAAAACTGACTAACTTTTGTCAATGTCAGGAGTTTTCCTGTAATGCAACTCAGGTCAGAATAAATGACACTCAGACAGGTTTGCAGGTTTAACGTGCACACGGGTGAGAGCTCAAACGGAGACTCACACTCCGCAGCAGTTGCCACCCTTTATTTATACTCAAGCATGTTTGCGTCACAGACACATGAGTGGAAGAGATAACATACAAAGGTAGAGACTTTATGCTGAGCTTTGCACAGTGTAACTTCTCTAGTAAAAAGAGCAAACACATCTAGAGAACCTCAAATGAAATGTACTTCTATACATAAACATAATAAAATCTTTCAACAGTCAATATCAAATAAACTGAGAACTAAAAGGAAATTCTCGATCTCTCCTTGTTGTATAGCTGAGCTTTTCAAACAGTTGTAACAGTTACTTTAGTCTGACAAAAGCCGAATGACGAATCAGCGCTTCCAGTCAGAGACTGAGCTGCACCAGTTTATTGTATTTCCAGACTTGCTTTCGGCACATTTACAGTGCAGCTTCTGTTTTTGTCAGACTTGAAATAGCAGAAATACCTTCACACTACGGAGCTTCTGTGGCTCTTCCGTTCGACAATCTCTCCGGCGTTGGAACCATCATCTGTTTTCTCTTCGGTAACCTTCGGTCACGCTCGGTTGATTTTTCTAGTCGGCACACTCATTTCCTCCATTACCCGGGCGGACGGCGGCTGGCTGCTTCCCAAACAAATACACATGTGCGGCTTGGCACTTGTGCTGTACGTAACAAGTCACGTGACGTGACGCTGCGGCTGTGATTGGTTCGGCTCTGCGCTACTTAATTTGGATTGGCTGGTTTTTTTTTTTGTTTTTTTTAAGAGGACAAGAGCGGCGAGGTCTATTGCAATAGTTTAACTTTTCTATCGAGAAAGTTATTTCGCAACACATATCGTTATATCGCCCAGCTCTACCTACAAATGCGGCCTCCGAAGGATGCCACCACAAAATCTGGACACAGCTCCGATACCAGAGACAGCTTCTTCTTCTTCGGGGTTTAACGGCAGCTGGCATCCTTGCACATGCATTGCTGCCATCTTCTGTTCCAGTCTGTTATTATACTCTTAAATCCTACTACTTATTCCTGCATCTTTCAGGATCTTACAAAGCTTCAAACGACGCATCGACGATTTTAATAGTCGATGTAATCGTGACTAAGCGACTAACTGTGGCAGTCCTGATTACAAACTGAACAGACATGACTGAGGGATAGGATTGCCTTGACAGTGTGAGCAGTTGTTAGAAGACGTAAAGTCCATCGTGAACATCCGATGACTTGTATAGTGCACTATACAATATTTTGTATTGTATTCATTGTAGACTGGGATTTCTAATCAATTTAAAAGGTTTTTAAGCATACCTGAGACCAGAAGGTTTGGTCTAAGCTGACTGATGGTTCCCATTTTGTAATCTGAAGTGATTCTGATCTACCGTCCTGTACCGTATTTTCACGACCATAAGACGCACTGTACTAAAAGGCGCAGTCTCAGTTATGTGTGCCATTACTGTATTTAACACACACATAAGGCGCACTGGATTATAAGGCGCATACAAGTGTGCGTGTTTAAAAATAAAGCGGGAGCAAAACTGAGTTTGGTACTCACATTTTTATACGTATCATCAAACCCATCGAAGTCCTCATCCTCTGTGTCTGAATTGAACAGCTGCGCTAAATCTCCATCAAACATGCCAGGTTCACTTTCTTCACTGTCAGAGTCACTTTCCGTGCCGTGCGGCTCCTCGGAAATGATGCCGGCTTTTGCGAAAGCTCGAACAACAGTGCCAGCAGACATGTTAGCCCAAGCATCTACAATCCATTCGGCAAATTGTGGCGTAACTCGCCCGGCGCTGCCTTCCACTCTTGGTGAAACTGTGGTCTCCCATCGGTCATCCATCGCTCCCAGGCCGCTCGCAGCCTTACTTTGAACGGGCGGTTCACACCGATGTCCAGCGGTTGGAGTTCCTTTGTCAGGCCTCCCGGAATGACAGCAAGCTCACAGTTCATTTGCTTTCACATAGTTTTTTCACATCGGCTGTGAGATGGGCACGCATAGAGTCACAGATTAAGAGCGATGGTGATGCGTGGAAAAAACCACCTGGTCTCCTTACATACACCTCCCTCAGCCAGTCTTTCATCATTTCCTCATCCATCCAGCCCTTTTCATTTGCCTTAATGATGATTCCTGCTGGAAACTTCTCTTTAGGCAAAGTCTTTCGCTTAAAAATCACCATAGGCGGCAGTTTCTGTCCATTAGCATGGCAGCCAAGCACAACAGTAAAAGAAGACTTTTCGATGCCCCGTTGTGCGTATCGCTACCGTGCTGGTCCCCTTCTTCTCCACAGTGTGACTCACCGGGATGTCAAAAGTGAGCGGGACCTCGTCCATGTTTGTGATGTGGCTGGGCTGGATGTTTTTGTCGCCGATGTGTTTGCTGCAGTAGGAGCGGAAGATGGCCAGCTTTTCCTTATAATCCGCTGGAAGTTGCTGCGCTACCGTAGTCCTGGTCCGGATGGAAAAATGGCACCGTTTCATAAAACAGTAAAGTGACCTTTACCGAAGGACCGTGAACGCTTCTCGTCGTTGCTGATGATCCATGGTCAATGAAATGTCACCTTCAAGGAGCTAGTGAAACTGCTTTTAGCCGAATGGTGACCGTCGAAACGCTTCTCCCGCTCGTTCTTTGCTCGATGATCCACCGCTCGAGTCTTTCCTCCAACTCGGGCCACCTCGCCTTATGTCCGCGGAAACTCAGCTGCGTTTTCTTGACCTGCCGGAGCTTGTTTTCCAGCTTCCTCCATTTGCGAACCATCGATTCATTAATCTTAAATTCTCTCGCCGCTGCTCGATTTCCATGTTCCTCCGCGTAGCTGATGGCCTTCAGTTTAAACTGTGCTTCTAAGCGTGTCTCTTTGCCATTTTCAGGGTTGTTAAAACAACGATGTTCCTCATAATGCACATACCTGTCCTTTTATACAGGTATGTGCGATTGTCCGGTATATACGATCAACGCCCACACTTCACCCTTTAGCGTTCTCATGGTGTTCTCTACTACGTCCTCCTTACAACACACAGGGCGCACTGCGCTATAGGGCGCGCCGACACTTTTTAAAGAAAATCTAAGGCTTTCATGTGCGCCTTATAGTTGCGAAAAT